TGTATAACAAAATGAAGAAATAGAATTAAATAATTAAATGTTTAGTTATTTAATTTATCAAAATTAAAAATATTGCTTTGTAAAATTTAAAGTATAAGTAATTCCATTTAATGAAAGGAAAAATATATTTTAATTGATTAAAGAAGATAATTATTTAATAAAAAGATTAAAACTTTATTTTGATAAATTTATATTGCAATGAATCTAAGGTAATATTGATATATAAAAACCTTAACAATTTAAAACGTATAAAAATAGAAACACTATACAATAATACTATAAATCATTGCACTAATATGATAAAAATATTTTAATTTAATTAATTAATGAGTATTTTTATATTAGAAAAATATTTGAGAGGATATATTTTTAATTAATCATAGAAATAAAAATTATAAGAAGTATACTTAAATTAGTGACATGTATTTGATTAATTAAAAATTAATATAATTGAGTCTTAATAATTTATATTACTTAATAATTTAAATATAAAAATATTTTAGATGATAATTGATTAATTTTAGAAGTTAGATTTAATTTTTTTTAATATATTGATGGTATATAAAATTTAAGATAGTATTGATACATATAGGTTTCAACGATTTATAATGCGTAAAGGTACAGATACTACACATTAGTATTGTGAATCATTGTATTTGTTTTATATATTTATTTATCATATTAGCTATATGATTTTAAAATAAAATATGAATTATCAATTATGATATAAAATAAAAATCCAAACATATTAATCTATTACGACGATAAAACAATAACGAAGAGACAAATATATAAATTAGTAAAATGATGATAATAAAATGGCATGGATATTATAAATGAAGATGATACTTTAAAAAAATTTATCATTATTTTCAACTCATCATTATTATTATTATTATTATTTAAAAAATACAAAAAATTAAATTTCACAAAAAATAAATTAAGTACAAATGTGAAAAATAAAAGGAATAAGAAAGAAAAAAAATAAAAATTTCTTATATGAACGAACAAAAAATGTTCCATCCATTTTTATTTAGTTATTTTCATTATTGTTATAATAATCAAATGTAATAGATTATGATTGTATTGTAAACTATGTTTGCAAACATTGGTCACAAACAGATGCTTTTATATTAGAATTATTACAAAATGTTTTCGAGAATCATAAAAAAAAAAAAGCTATCATAGTTTAAAAGTGAAAGGAGTTCACGTGATTTCGCTACATCTCGTGATAATCTCCTGAAATGTATTCCAATATTATAGTAAAAAAGATAAAATAAAAAAAAACTGACAACCATCAAATCTTATGCCATATGCATACTTTATAACTTTACCAGTTCGATGGTTTAGGTAGAAACCCGTCAAAGGTGTAAAAGTTTTGATACATATATTGAAAAAATAAATGCAAAGCAGTGGTTACATGATCTTAGAAATAGACAAAATTTAAAAAAATTATTTTACAGGTTGGAAATCCAAAAAAATGTCATAGAAGATAGGTTATTTTTGCATGTTTCATAAAGATTTTAAAACAAACATCGAAAGAATGCAATAGTAAGGTTGAGAAATGTTATTTTTGTTTCCGTTGAATTTTTCTTGCTCATGAACTTTCTTCAATTCTTCTTTTTTTTTCTTACAAGCCCCCGTTCGTCCCTTAAAAAATTCTCTATGTCGCTCCTCCTCTCGTTTCTCTCTGGTTTTTGAAAATATAAATTCTTTCTCTTTCATATCCCTTTCTTTATTTCACCCCCTCCCCCCATTTAGTTCTCTCCTTCCCTTTTCATACGGTGTTGTTGCTTCATTCTTTTTGTACCATGCTATAAATAAAACAAAATATTTAATATATTTTCTATTTCATGTATAAAGGAGATGTCCTTGATATTGTTTTCTAATCAACAAGTGTTCAATTTTCTCACTGGAAGTCAAATTTGTTTTTATTCCAAATTTGTAAAGACCAAACTTTTTATTTAGAAAAGATAATTTATTTTCATTCTTTTTTTTAAAATTAAATTCAGACTTTTTCTTTTACAAAATAAAGGAATAGATATTAAAAAATCAAACTAAAAAAAGTAAAAAAAAAATGAATATTCACATGTATAATTTCCTTCTTTTAAGCTACTAGCCAAATAGCCAACATTGTATTATGTCAATTATTTGTTCCTTTAGGGTTTAAACTTTATTTCAAGTCAAATATGTAAAATAATATGACCTAACCTTAAGAGATACAAGAGCTTTAGATTTATTTTGGAAGTGATCATAGAAATAAATATGTGGTGGGTGTAATATTCTCTTTTCAATTTTCGGTAATTTATATTTCTTTAATATTAAGTAGTATTAGAATGTAATTAGATGTAAGTTTGGAGGATTGTTAGACGAGTTTTAGAGCGGGACGTCTCACTCAAGCGAGGTAAATCTCGCCCAGACAAGATTGAGCATGCAAGAACACAAAGTTGTAAGGCTATCTCACTCAAGTGAGATAAGATAAATGTTACCCAACTGTCACTTCGCCCAGACGAGAGTGATTTCGCTCAGGTGAGTTGGGGTTTTTCATCCAGGCAAGGTGGGTCACTCAAGCGAGGACCCACAAGAGAAATAACATGCTCTCTAGATACCATTTCGCTCAGTCGAGATGGAACTTGCTCAAACAAGCATATCAGAAAAGAAGGAGCAAGACCACTGTCTACATGTCTTGCTCAGACGACAAATCCGTCGCTCAAGCCAAATGTCATGTCTCAAGCGAGTTGTCTCTCGCTCAAACGAGAATGCATGGGGCTAAGTGGTATTTAAGAGATTTCCTGCATGGAAATCTTATTTGTTTTTGAACTCACATTTCTCTCTCTAGTTTTCTCTGAGCTCTTTCTTCCTTTTACCTAGATAAAAGCCACAAAAATTTCATTTTCTCTTCAAAGTTGAACTTAGACATTAAAGCTAATCGACTCTAAGTAAGTTTCTTTGGATTAAACTTGAGTTTCTCTAATCGTTTTTCATGTTTTTGTTCTTATGGATATCTCTTGATACTCAGGAGAACTTCCATCTGTGAACCTTAATCCTTTTCAACATCTCTCCATAAACTCATCTTTGAGGTAAGAAGAACTCTATTTGATTATTATCGTATGATATTTATTTTATGCTTATAGAGTACTATTATGTGAATATGGTATGAGAATGGATGATTGAGATATCTATTGTATGGAGTATGAATAAAAATATGTTTGTTTGATTATTTAGACTGATTGATTATTTGGGCCAAATGGCTGACATATGCTTACTTGCATTGTATGATGAGTACCTGATATGGAATATTATGGAACTTGCTGAGTGATTTTGTATTATTTTATGAAATATATTTGAGTAAAATGATATATGGTAACGATGTTGATATAAAATGATTTACGGTTAAAATTGTATCAATGAATATATTTGTGGAATGGACTTAGTCTAGAAGTACTTTACTAAGCACGATCTGATGATTGAGAAAGAGAATAATTTAAGAACGATCTAAGAGTCGGATATGGATTTGATCTAGTATGACTAGTTACAAAGATACACTGAGGGTATAGAGTCTGGAGACGATAAAAATTTAAGGGAAATGTAGGGTGGTGAGCGACATTCGCGTATCTATACACACTCTTTATGAGAGCGAATGCATCACATAGCCTCAAACTCGTCTCTTGACTAGACTCCTAACTATTTCTTTGCTAAATGGCTCGATTATTGTACATGTTGTATCCGTGTACATAGGCTAACTGACAACTATTTACCTAGTTGAGTAAAACCTCAAGAAGTGCTAAAAACATCGATATCTGTGATTACAGTGCACTGAAAGTGCATGTTGAAATAAGAGAAAGGAATTAAATAATAAATTATTTGAATGTTATGTGTGAGGTGAATGTGTTTGTAAAAATGAATTCATGAAATTGAATGTGTTGTATTTATGTTAAAATTTTGATTGTATGCTAAATGTTTGTAAAGGACAGAATAAATACTCATCCGTACTAAATTTTTAAGAACTCAGGATGACAGAGCCTTAGGGAAGAATTAGATTAATAGATAGATCTGTACATTTTAGATTAAATTATATATTTAATGAATATCAGAGAGTAAATTATTTTAAATTTGTTGTACTTGTAGAAGATGAACCTAGGATTTTTATTATGTTAAAGATGGATTTCTCTTGTAATATACCTTTTGACTTTTCTAGGAGTAGAATACACCAGACTCTATGTGTATATATATACAGAGGTACTGTTAGAACTCCGGCAGTCTTGAGTGTTGGTGTTTGAGTTGAGACTGCTCTGGATTGTAAATTTTCTTATATGATGTAAATATTTTGATAATGTAAATGTTATTTTAAGTTTTGTATATTATGACAAACCGTATGTCAATTATATATATATATATATATATATATATAAGGTATATTCAAGTTTCTCATTGAGCATACTAAAACTTAGCTAGGAGGATTATTTATTCATTTCGTAATTTATTGATATTGTTTTATTAATACTGTGAAGCTAGAAATTCTCGACCATATACACATATTACTGGAAAAAAAATTCTATCAAATTGTCAAAAACTAATTAAACATAAAAATGTAATTTATATAGATTGATAAAGACTAAAATATGCATTGTACGAAAATTTGATATTAGGACGTTATAATTTGGTATCAGAGCAGTTCATCCAAACCTGCCTAGAGTATGGGACTAGTTTATCGTGATAATGTGATATTGGTTAGAAATTGTTTGTTAATACAACCTACTGGATGTGAATTGTTTGTTTTGATTGAGATGTTTGGAGTGTTTGTATGTTTTGAATTTGATATGAAATGTGTTGGAATGAAAGCTGATATGTGAAATTTGATTTTATAGAATTAGAACTATGGTTGGTAGAGGTAGACCTGCTAGTGCTATTAATGAGATCTTGGCCCGCATAGCGCAAGTCCTAAAGAACTTGTACAAAACCAAGATGCATAGCCAGTAGATTGTGGACTCTCTTCATTCATGAAACATAGCCCTCCGAAGTTTGAGAGGAAATTTGATCCTGAAGGTGCTCAGAGGTGGATAATGGATATAGAAAAGATATTTAATGTGATGGGATATCGCAAGGAGCATAAGGTGGTTTTATGTCACCTATATGTTGGGAGAAGAAGCAGAGGACTAGTGGAAGTTTGCCAGTCAAACTCTGTCATAGGAAAAAGGATATATCTATTGGGAAGCTTTCAAGGTATGTTTCTAGGGAACTACTTCCCTAGAAATTTGAATAAACAAAAGGTCCAGGAATTTCTTGAGCTAAAACAAGGAAATATGTCTGTGGGAGAATATGTTGCCAAATTCCCTGAACTCATGAAGTACTTGCCACATTTCCAGCACAAGGATGAAGACGAAGATATATGTGCCCGGTTTGAGAATGGGCAGAGGCCAGAGATACGAGCAGCAGTCAGTGTGAATTCTGGCTTCCACAGATCTAGTTTTTGGGACATGTTGTCTCAAAGGACGTTACAGTGGGGGAGGGGGAAATTCTTTAAGATAGTGAAAGAGTCCAAATTCCAGTAGCATTTGTAAAACCTAAAAAAAAGAGAAAGAAAGAAATAAATATAAAAAAAATTCCAACATTGATTATGGGATTGTTAATTAATGTATGTATATTGATTGAATGCTTAAAAATAGGGGTACACAAAAAATCCAAACATAAAAGGCCAATCCATAACCAAGCCCAACCAGTTTTAAAAGTCTAAAATTTTTAAAGATTTAGACATCTCAATCCATAAGAAAAAAAATTTGGATGTAAATTGGTTATAATATATTAAATCGAATAAGACTTTATAAAACCAAATTTATTCTTCTCCTCCGTCTAAACCCTAGATTTCTTTCTTGAGAAAAATTACATTGACTTGGTACAGAGATTCACTTGCCCAACCTTGCAGGTACTCTTTTTTCCTCCTCAATTTTTAGTAAGCACCATCTTATTTCATTCTTCGTCGTTCTATTTTGCTGCTTTCCAGTTTCATGTGAGGACATCCGATTGTGTTTAATATTTTTGGTTGTTTTGGCAAATCAAATTTACTGAGGGAAATTATTGTGTCTATTTTGCTATTTCGCCGTTTTGCTTTATCAACGATAGAATTGACACAGAATACATTCATCACTTAATGTCCTTTTATTCAATTTTTCAACATTTGAGATCCACAATATTGAAAAGCTAGAAATTTACATAATCATATATACCTCTAGTTAGTCTTTTTTAACATTTTTGCAGTAATGCTTTTCGTAAAAAGTTCATGAAAATGGAGATATTTTAAAAAAAAAATAGAGCAGAAAATCATTATGTTTTTGTTATTTTCTCTTTGATGATAAATGCAGTTCACATTCCACTGTTACAGTGGAATTGCTTTGCAACTTTCTTTTGATGTTTTTGTGACAAACATTTGTTGTGCTGATTATTATTATTTACATGCAGGGAATTATTGAAGCTTGCATTATGGTTCATGTCCTTTCTAGGATTTTTATTGATAATTATATTTGGATTGTATAACTGTTGATTCTGATTTGTTATAATCTTGTCAAATAACACCTTGCTATATAATTGCCTTATTCCTTTATTTCAAGTGTTTGATACAAAGTTGACTTGGTACATTATCTAATAATATTTTTCACATAAGAAATTTTGTTTCTAATTTCATAAGTGGAACAATTGATTCTGATAGGATGGATTCCCTTGATATAGTTTGTTGTCTTACTATAAAGAGCCTAGATTAGTAACTGGAAGAATTTATGTTAAGTTGGTCAACACTGATGTATTTTCAACCTTATGTTTCACTTTGCTAGGTTTTTCCTAGGCACACTTGCTTGATGGCCGGGCTAGTGCTGGTGCAAGTGTTGATTCAGCTAGACAGAACCTTGTTGCTACTTTTGTTAATGCATTTATAAATGCTGGCTTTGGTCAGGTATAATGACTATTCCATCAGATTCTTCAAGTTGTGGTTCTTCTGAAAATTGGCTTTTCAAAAATAAGGAATATGGGTGCAATCTATTGCAGCCTTTCAAATTGGCTTTTCAACAGATACTTTGTTGTGTTTTAAATATGTATAGACTGTGTGTAATTTTTAAATACTGATTGCAGCTTTTATGACACACTCTATTCTCAGGGTGCATGAAAAATTTAAATATTGTAGTCTCTCATTTTTTAAAGATTTTTTTTCTCTAAATATTGAATAAAAATAAAATCAGTTTTGATTAAAACCAGATTTAAAACCAGTTTTAACTAAAATCAAATTTAAAATCAGTTTTAATTAAAATTGGATTTAAAATCAATTTTAAGTTAAATCTAAATTTTAAAATTGGTTTTAAACCAATTTTAAAAAAAAAATTTAATCTATATAATTAGATTTAAAATGAATTTAGATTGATTTTATACAAATTCAATCCATACATACTCCTACTTAAAAATGTTTATATGAATAATTTGAGATTAATAAAATTGGAATCAAATTACATTTATTTTGGTAGTAACAAGTGATGGATCAAACTGAAAATTTTTTAAGTTGATATTTTTTGCAAGGATTCTCTCCAAAACACCAAAAACATCATAAGAAACTTCGTCCAAGATTTCTCCTCTCATTACTTTTCCATATCAAAATTGTTAGCTAAAGGAATTTAATACTGATATGCTGGTGGAAACCTTAAATAAAGAAGCAAAAGAATAAAATTGCTGAATTCATAAACTTTTTTTTATTACTTTAAGTACGATGCTCATAAACAGAATTGGATCACAAGCCTAAGATCATATATTTGTGCATTTGTTGGAGCACTTGATATTCAAATGTAACTAATAAAATAAAGTTCAACGATGATGACAATCAAATTCGCAATGGCATCCATCTGGGAAACACTGTCCAACAGCTGAGCTATTCGGGTAATGTTTGATGCAATCCTTCGTACAAGTTAGGACATTACAATGGTTTGTGTAGTATAGTATTTCAGTGCAAGTTTCTTCTGCAACTGTTTGGGTGGCCATTAACAAAACTGCAAAAACAACAGTATCAAGGAAATAAAATGATTCAATGAATGAGAATGCTTTAATATAATTACCACAAAACATGAATCATAAGGATCGAAGAAAATACTTGGAAAAATAAGCGCTAACAGGAAACAGTGCCTCAGAGAAAGCTTCATCGTTCCTTCAGTTTGCTACAACTAGCTTGGAGTTTTTTGGACTCTGTGCTACTATAAGGTGAACTGAGAATTTATATACAATTTACGTGAATTTAGAGAAAGGTTTCTACTCTTTTCCCAAATAATAATAAGAACATGGTTTTATTTAAGGGTGTAAATGAATTTAGATATTGAGTTTGACTCATTAAAGCCATATTCAAACTCATTTATTAAGGTAACCAAATATTTTCTGAGTAGCTTGTAAATATAATATCACTTATTTTGAAAATTATTATTTTATTTATTTTGATTATATATTATAGTTATTTGAATTTTTTGTACATTCTTATTTTAAATAGAAGATTATAAATTTTCCTTAGGGAAATTCGTTATTTTCATCATCAAATATTTATCTCCAATTTTAAGTACGTATTTTCAAGATTATAAAATTATAGTTTTATTATTTTTACTTTACTTTTTATTATAAAGATAATTTTTAAATATTAAACAAATCAAAATTTACTCAAAGAAGAATAAAAAATAGTTAGCAAACAAGTTAACAAGTTAAATTTAAACTTTAATTTTTTAATCAAACTAACATCAAATTTTAAATTTAACATTTTTAAATTGATATTTTTAACATGCATTTAAGAATATATAATAAAAATTCAATAAGTAATAATTTTTATTAAAAATTATGATATTTTATATTATTAATACATTAAATTACATGATATTTTAATAAAGATACTCAAACTAAAATAATGTAAATATAACAATTTTAAATCACTATTATATTTAAAAAAATAGTGGCTTATTAATTAATTACATTTATTGCTATATACAAATTGAAAACTTTTTCTATTATTGTTGAATTTATTTTTTTTAAACTTTACTAAATTTTTGCCACAAGCCTAGTGTCGTAGTCGTTCGCCTTCTTTCCTTCGGTCATACATATAACTCATTCAACTAACTGAAACTAAGAGAGGGTTTGGGAAAAGAAACGGTAGTAAAGACAAAATTTATATTTTAAATTAATATTTTTTTAAAAATTAAAAAATATATATTAATATATTAACATAAATTTAATATATTAATAATATATTTGTTATTAAAAATAATATATAATTTTTTTAGTTTAAACTTTAAAAACATGTCATTCTTTTTGTTCCCTTCTGAAACCACCCTCCCAAACATACTAAAGTATTTCACAAATAATCTTTTAGGTTTTATACATTTATTTTTAGAATAAATGAGTGCTTTTTTATAGCATTGTATTTGTATTTTTAAACCAAATTTTTATTTTTAATTTTTAAATAATTTATACCGACCCAGTAATAATAGTTATCAATTTCTTATTTAATATTATGTAATCACTAAAATAAGTAAATATTTAATTAAGTGGCTGATAATAAATGAATAAAAAAATAAAATTAAAGAATCATTTACTTAAATACTTGATAATAAATAAATATATTAATAAAATTAGTAATATTTAATTCAATATAGTATTATAATTTTTTTAATTAGTTAACATATTTTAGCTAGTTATACAACTAATCATTAATTATTAAAATACATGTGCAGAATTAATACTGAGAAATCACAATTAAAAAATAGAGGAAAGCTTTTAACTGGTAATAAATTTGCAACTTTTATTAAGGCTGGGAACTCAATTAAAAAATAGTGGTAAATATCTTTTCTCACATTCTTAATACATTTTTACTCTCTCTTATCCTTTTTATTAAATCTTTTCAAATATGTTTATTTATCCTTAATATAAAATTAATTAGAAAGTTTTAGGAGAATTTATTAATTTTTTTTATATTTATCATATATTATTAAAGTTTTCTAATTTTTTAACAATTAATAATAATAATGGAGTTGAATTTAATTAAAAATAAACTTACAATATTATAATTAAATTTTTAAAAAATAATACATTAACTTCTACCGACAATTTTTCTTTTACCCGTGTGATTGAGTTGAAATAGTCATGTAAAAAATACCAAGGGGAGCATAACGTTTAAATTCCATAGTACGTTTGGATAAATAATTTAATTAAATATAAATTTAAAATAATAAAGCACTTATTATATGAAAGCTTATGAACATAAAAAATTGATTATGAAACTTATAAAAATAAATTAAAAGTAATTTACTGTTACAAATTCATTATTCTTAATCATTTACAACTACCATTTGATTGTAGTTACTTCCTTAGTCTTAAGGCTATGCTTGAAAGGCTTTATTATATATAAAAAGTAGCATGTTTGAAAGTTAAATTTTAAAAGAAAAGATAGATAGCATAGAATTTCATTTAAATAAATAATTTAAATTTTGATAATTTTTGTAAATAAAAATAAAATAATTGATTTCTCAACATAAATTTAATGTTCTAA